CAGGCGCTTCTTTATATATATATATATATATATCTCCCTCTGTCCCCTTTTCTCCCAGCTTTATTTCATTTGCGACTTCCTTCTCTCCTACTTTTTTTTTTGTCTCATGACAGTTTTTTATTATTTCTTGAAGCAGCATTTAGCGGGAAATAATAATAATAATAATAATAATAATAATAATAATAGTATTAGTAACAATAATATTAGTAATAGGAAAATCTCTCAGCGTGCTGGTGTGCAAAGGTGGTTCGTTGTCTGCCGTCCGTCAGGCGGTACAACACATTGAAGTTCGTTTTCTTTTCTTTTTTGTCAGCATTTGTTCCCACGCTGCCCAACATGCACGCTCCGTTGCCGCCCATTCCTTCACTTCTCTTATCTTTGCTTTCTCCCCTCGGGTGTTCCACCAGGAATCCGTTTTTTAACCTACTCAGTCCAAGTCATCCGCACCTTTCGGCGCCTCTTCATTCTCGGCAGAAGGGGGCTTGGTTCCCGCCGGCGGTGTCTTCACCGCCTCCGCCTCCTCCCCGTTCCCGCTGCCCGCAGCGGGATTAGCAGCCGCGGGTTTCGTCTCCTTTGGCTTCGGCGGTGCAGGGCGTTTCACCACCGCGTTCACACCCTCAATGACCACCGCCTGTTTTGCCTGCAGGTCTCCGCGAGTGATGGTGGGCGCCTCCGTCTTTGGGGCCTGCTGATACTTCTTCACCTCCCGCTCCGCCCATTCCAAGGCTTCGTCGCACTTCTGCGCCGCTTCGCGAAGCTCCTCCTCAGCAATGTGCTCCGTCTTTCCAATGGTGTGCAGTGCCAACTCACGGGCCTTGCAAACCTCCTTCTTATAGACTTCCAGCGCAAACGAAATATCCTCAAAGTTCAGGTGTCGTGCATTCGCAGCGTCGGCGATGTTGCGGAGTATCTTGACTCTCCCCTCGTAGGCACTTAGTTCCGCATCGGCGCCCTCTTCGTAGAGCCAGTTTTCGTACTCATTGCAGAGTTGCACAAAAGTCGCCTGCTGTTCTTTTGTCACATATTCTGCGAGGAGGCCACCATCGGAAATGCGTGGGCGGTTGTCAAGGATGTAACTCTCCAGCTCATTCTTGCTATCCCGTGTCCTGGTGTAGAGGGAGTCGCGTTCGCTCATCTCCGCCTCTTGTTTTTGGAAGAGCAACACCATGTCCCCAGGAAGACCAATCACGTCAAGGCGCGGGGTCACGGTCAGCTCAATACGCCGCTGCTTATGCTTCTTCACCATTTTCTGTTCAGGTGCCTTGTTTTCACTTGTCTCCTCCTCGTTTTCGGGCTTCTTAGCCTCCGCGCTCTTCGCGTCTGTGGCCGCCGCCTCCTTCGCGGGTTCCTCTTTCGCGGGCTCTTCCACTTCATACGTCTCCACAGAAACGGCGGATTCAACGTGAAGAAGGCCGTTGGCAAGCAGATTCACACGCACACGCACCTCCGTCGCGGCTGAGTCCTTTGGCGGTTTTCCGACCTCCCACTCCCCAATGATGTATTCCCCCAACGGCATATTCGCCTTCACAATCGGATTCTCGTAGTCGTAGAAGGCGTACAACTTAAACCCACCCCGACGTTTGATGGTAATCTCCAACAGCTTTGGGAAGTGGTCCTTCTCGCCCAGCACGGTCACCACCTTGTTGACATCAGGCAAAAATGGCACAACACTTGTGCTCTGAGCGTTCTCCATGTAATACGCAAGCTTAACCGGATACGTTGGCAGTTCACTCACGACAAACTCACGTACCTTGAAGGTTGGGGAGAAGATGGCCGCAGTGATGGCTGCACCACGAGCAGCTGTTTCCGACGCATTAAGTGTAAAACTGGGTGGGCGTCCCAAGAGCTCCTCTGTTGCTCGCTTAAACATCGGGATGCGGCAACCGCCGCCAATCATTTCAATGCTGTGGAACTTTTCCGGTGGCACCCCAGACACCTCAAAGCCTCGTCGGACGACTTCCTTAAAGCGTTCCAACAGCGGCGCCGAGAGCTCCTCAAACGTGCTCCGCTGAAAGGAAGGAATGTTAACGTCGACGTCCATGATATTTTCCACGTTCAGCTGCGCCACCTGGTTGCCGGAGAGAAGATACTTTAGACGCTCACAGGCCTGCAAAAGTCGAAGGTTCGCCCGCTTGTTCGTGGTCACGTCCACATGGTACTTCTTCTTCACCTCCTCTACCATGTACTTGAGGAGCTCGTAGTCAAGGTCGCGGGTTCCAAGGTGGCGGTCAAAGGTGCGGCCGAGCAGTTTCAGGTGACCGCGCCAGAACTTCGCAACGGCAAAGATGGTGGTGCCGTACCCAATGTCAAGAATACCAACCACCTGCCCCTCCTCCACCGCTTCCGCCAAGGAAGAGCCGCGGAAGATGCCGTAGTCAATGCCCGCCGCGGTGGTGTCATTGACAAGTGACAAGCAGTGCAGTCCAGCAATCTCACACGCCTGCAACATGAGACGCCGCTGTTCTGAGGTATAGTAGCAAGGAACAGTTAATACGCAATCACGAACGTCAACAGGCACCTTTGCATCCGAGGCGGCAGCCGCATTCACGTAGAGACGAAGTCGCTGAAGAAGCATAGCCAAAACCTGCTCTGGGTAAAAGTAGGTCATAGTGCCGCAGTAGTTCACACCAAACATCAGTCGACCATTTTTGTCGCCTTGTATTTGGCAGGTCAGGAAGCGACGTTCTGTCGCAAGCGAGGGGTCATCCATGCGCATTCCAACAAAGCGCTTGAGCAGAAACACCGTGTTTTGCGCATTCCGGACGTAGCGATCAACACCCTGTTCACCAATAAAACGTTCATTATCTACAAAAGAAACAATGGTAGTCGTTTCTCGTTTACTCACTTCATTTGTCACAATGTCGACCCCACCACGGCGCGTGATTGCGACGGTAGAATTAAGGTTGCCGAAGTCCACACCAAATACAGACATGATGAGATATACGTTCGCTTTCTTTGCTCACTCACCGACGCACCTCCCTCCTACGGTCTCTTGAAGAACCTCGTGTGTTTGTTTGCTCGAAGCTTTTGGTTGTTTCTCCTTTTTATTTCGTTGCGGTGTCGCGGCACAAGCACGCACGCACGAATGTGGTGGAGGGGAGCAGCGGCAGAAAAAGAAAAGGACAAAAAACAAAAGAAGAGAAACAAGCAAAGAAGCAACAACAACAAAAAAAAGAGAATGGGGGAGATGTGCGCAAGGCAACACAGCGCAGAGAAAAACGCATCGAACGGAGGAGGGGGGTGGGGAGGGAGAAACGGCGCGTGGGAGGAACAAAAAGATTCAGCCGGGGTGGGTGGGGGGCCAACAGCAGCGCGGCCGCCGCTTTTCACGGTCACCGCCTCCCCCCATAAGAAAAAAAATTCCGACCCAAAGAAAACAAAACAAAGAGACATAGTAAGTGCAACAAAATTGCCCCACAAGAGGAAAAAAGGGAAGGCGGCGGAGCTGAGGCCTCTTCCCCACCCCCACTCTACTTCCGGTGCCCTCCAAGCGTAGGAGGTCGCACTTTGAACGGGGTACACACACACTCACACACACACCAGCGAGGAGAACAAAAAGGGAGGAGAAAACAATCAGTCTTGGGAGATGGACACATCGCCACCAATCCCCTCGTTGTTTCTTCTGCGAAAAAAAAAAAACACAGCACAACGGTCACACAAGACGTGTATAAGGAAACGCTGCAAAGAAACAAACACCTTGTGCACATCCGCCAAAGCATGGTGGACACAATATGAGGCAAGAAGAATAGGAAAAATAAGCATGATAACTCAGTGCCACGGGCGGGATGGAGGAGGTGCGACAGGCTGTGGCGATGCATCTGCGGCAAGTCGCGAGGGCGAAGTTTGTTTGCGCTGCGTGCTGTCAACCCCGTTTCCAAGAACCCGTTGGTAGTTGCTATATTGATCACTATAACCACTCGGGTGGGCGCTAACAAAAATAGGCGGACTCCGCTGCGACTGCTGCTGCTTTCGTACAACAGAGACCTGACCACTGAGACGACGAGTTTGTTCAGCGGCATCACGAAAGATACGACACCATTCCTCATCCTTTTTGGCAGCTTGTTTACTCTCCTCTAGAAAGAAGTCCAATTTTGCCGCCATTGCATCCCTTTCTTGGCGCAGCGTCTCTGTTTCTTGCGAGGCACGCACTGCCTCAACCTTGGCCTCCTCTGCGGCCTGTCGCAGCATTGGAAGCTGCCGCAAGCGCTCCTGCACATCCTCCAGCTGCTGGGAGAGCTGCTCATGGTTAAGCATCTTCCCCTTGAGCTGTTGCAGGCTCTCGCGGAGGGCGACATTCTCTTGCTGCACCTCCTGATATTGTTCATGAAGGCGGGCGTTTTCCCGCACAAAACTCTCCTTCTCAGCGTCTATGCGTTCACGCGTTAGACGTTTCTTTTGATCTCGTTCCATCTCTATAAGACACAAACGAAGTTTTTGCAACTCCTCTTGCATCTTTGAACGGCGCTGCTCATCCTCTCCCATTTCTTGTCGAAGCTGCGTCGACTGCTGCGTGTGCGCGTCGCGCTCCTGCTGCAGCTGCTGCTCCAACTCCTGCGCTCGCGTCTGATGGCGCTTCACTTCCCGCTGCAATTGGCGGCACTCCTCAGCAGCGGCGTCAGACGTCTGTCGCAGCTGATCCACCTCGGCCTCCAGTTTCTGCACACGTGCTGTGACCTCCTCCAGGCGGCGACGCTGCTGCTCATTTTCGCGACGCTGTTGCGAAAGCTCTGCCTCTAATCCGGCAGCAACTGCCTGCGCGGCGCGGCGCTCTGCCTGCTCGTCGTCCCGCTCCCGCTCCAACTCCCTCGCGGCAGTCCGCTGATCGTCCAACTCCCGCCGTGCCAGACTCAACTCATTCTCTAATAAATCTCTTGCGGAGGCCATTTCTTCCTGCAGGGAGCGGCTCACTTCCTGCTGGCGCTCCTCTGTCTGTCGTCTGTAGTTCTCAAAGTAGCTTGTGCGCGAGTCAAGCTCTCGCTGCAGCGACTCAGCGCGTTGCTGGGTGTCATCTAAGCTACGCTGCGCCTGCACAAGATCTCGCTGCGTCGCATTTCGCTCCTCCTGAAGTTGACGAATGCGTTGCTCGTATTCCTGCTCTCTAGTAACAATATTTTCATTCAGTTGCTCTATCGTCTTGTTTAGGCGACGCCGCTCGCCTTCCGCATTTTCCTGTAGTTTCTCCACCCGCAGCAGCGCCTCACTGTTTTCCGCCTTATTATCCTCCAACAATTTCTCCTTCCGCTCCGCATCCTCCTTTACTTGCGCCAGTTCCCCCATGAGACGACGCAGCTGATCCTGCAGCGAGTCATTGTTATTCAGCAGCACTTTCATCTGATCCTCGTGCTCCCTCGCCAGTTCAATTTGCGACTCCACCGTCTTTTGAGCGGTGGCCAGTTTTTCCGCCGTTAGCGCAAGCTGCTTCTGGGCGTATTCGTATTGATCTTGGGGAACATGTCCGCCTTTGCGACGAAGCGTCGTCAGTTGCGCAACGGCCGCGTCGTGGTCGCCCTTCAGCCTTGCCAAATGCTGCCACAACTCCTTATTCTCAAGCATGAGTGTAGAAAGCATCTCTGTCATGTCACGCTCCGAGCCCTCGTTAAAAAGAGTCAGTTGGTCGCACAGCACACCAAGTGTGGTCTCCGCAGACGCCACCCTTGCCTCCAGGTCCGTCGCGGCGGAGAGGACTGCACTTCGCGCAACAAACACCGACGTTTCCTCTTCCTCTTGCTGCACTAAAAGGGTGTCAAGAGACGCCATAAAACGATGTACAAGCGTTTGCTGCTTCTCACGCATGCCTTCGCACTGTCGTTGAACCTCCGCGGCGGGAACGTAGCGCGTGCGATCATCTAAAATGCGATGCACCTCTCGAGGGTCCATCGCCGGTCGACCCCGCTCTTCTTGAAGTTCCCGCCGCAACTTTTCCACCTCCCATTCCAAATCCTTCAATGAGGCCTTGAGTCTGTCGCGCTCCTCTCGCACCGCCCCATTTTGGCCACGCTCCTGTACGATATGCCCCTCCAGCCGTTTTACGTTAGTTTCAGCGGCCGTAAGCTTCTCAACGGTTGCCCCGTACCGATGCGTTAGACTACTAAACTCCACTTTTTGTTCGTTGAGCTTCACTGTCACATGCGCAAGACGCGCGGAGGTCTCCTTCAGTTCCTCTCGCAACGCATTCGTCTCACGTTGCATGTGCTGCAACTTCTGATCCAGCAAACCGTTTCGCAGATCACGGGTGCCAATAAGAGTGGGAGATAAGTCTGCGCCATCAGGCGTATTTGGTGCAACCGTCTGCACCAGCGCCTGCATCGCGGCGGTGGCGGTAGCCGGTGGGTTGCCGCCGCCGTCCCCGTGGGACACCTGCACCCGCGGCGGCGAACCGCCACTCAGCCGAGTCGGCCTAGCGGGAACAGCGGCGGGCGAGGCCACGACATCGGGGACGCCGCCATCAAGAACTCGCCCCCTGGCATGCCCCGCGTCAAACGTATGTCCGCTTCCGGAGGAGGCGTTGTGCGCCTCGCGCCCAGCCAGCTGCGAGGCGGGGGAACCAACGAGGTGAGAGCCGCCTTCGCGCCAGCCGCTTCCTGGCAACATTTTCGTTCGCCCGCCAGAGGGTGGAGAGAAGTGAGGAGAAGGTGCCACGCCCTTCGTTCCGCGCTTCGCTACGGTGGGTTGACGCGGTCCGCGACGCCGAAGGCGAGGAACCACAAAAAGGAGAAAAGAAAGCGGCACAATTACGGCACAGACAACGCAAACGAGGCCGGTCCACCGGAAAAACGAAACAGCGAAAAACGACAGATGAAGCTTACAAAGAAGATGGGCGAAATCGTTTTTTTTGTTGTTTTTTGAGTGGGGAATAACCAAATGAGGAGGAAAAGAATAGTAAAAAAAAACGCAAAACCGAAATAAATAGTCCCAAGCAATAATAACCACATATGAGTCTGCTTAGGACGGGAAGGAAAATATGGCGTTCAAGAGGTAAAAAAAAAGGGGGGGAGGGGGCACGCGAAAAAGAGTCAAGGTAGCAAACATCCCATTACTGCTCCTTCAGCTCCCTTCATGTGTTTTTTGAGTCTCCCCTCACACACAGTTTTTTTTTTTTTTTTGCTTTTGTGTCACTTTTTTTTTTTTTCTTCTTCTGTCGGCCTCCGCGTTGCTGCCGATAACCCGCGGGTTCCTCTGCAGTGGGAAGTCGGGTGTGAAAGAGGCTACTGTGCCCAGCAGACTTGGCTTCCGATGTTAAGAAGAAATCAAACAAACAGAATATAAAAAAAAGCCATCTCGAAACACACACACACAAAAAAAAATGAAAGCTTTGGTCGTCTGTTATTACACGTCTCCGCGTAGTCCAGCAAGGAGAATAGAGCAGAGTTGAACAACAAAAGAAAGATTGAGCGAGCCACGGAGCGGCATCGCCAGTTCCGCGTCGGGCGGAGAGAACAAGAGGAAGCAGTCCTTACGCGTTGCCCAAGTAGGTGTGCGCGTGCGTGCGTGTGTGTTGGGGGGAAACTTCATTGCAAGCGGAGAAAGATGACTTTCCAGAAAGCATCCAACTGCGACCGCCACGACCGTCCGTTGTTGTTCTTCTTCGCCTCCCTCCTTCCGTTTGAGAAAAGGAGTGAAAGAAGTATTTGGAAGAGTTCCACCCACAAAACAGTAGCAAACACATCAACGTGCCTTCTCTGTTTTTCAACTCTTCCTCTGATTTTGTCTGTTCGGCTCCATTTGCGCTCCTCCTGCTCACCGTCGCGGCCTCCTCCACATCAACTATTTATCCCTCTCTCTCATCCTGCATCGTGTCCCCATCCCCCAATTTCTTCTCGTCTACATTTGTTATGTTTGTTTTTTTTGTCTGTTTTTTTTCGAATCTTTCTTTATTGGGGAAGGAAGGAGAAGGGTTTGCTTGCAGCGCGTGTGCATCGCGGTGGAACCACCCCCGGCGCCTTCTTTAATGTCGAAGGCATTAAATAAGTTATCCCTCCATCATTCCTCTCATGTGTTCATTATTTGACGCGTCCGCCCAAGACAGCGCGACATGGCTTCGCAGCTGCTGGCAATACGTTCGGCGATATAAATATACGCAGGGCGACTGTGGGTACCATAATCGAGGCACACACATGGGGGAGTGAAAAAAAAAGAACACCAAAGCATAATTGCATGTACCCAATACAAGCACCCCATCCGTGTCGTTTTGCTGTCCCTTCTCGTATTGGCAA